AGACAGGCTTAGACATCTGTCCAAATTGAAGAACATTCTACAAAATACCTGACCAGTATACTTCCAAGGTGTCAAGGGCATGAGAAAAAAAAAAAAAAAAGACCAAGAAATTGTCACAGATCAGAGGATACTAAGGAGACGTGACAACTAAATGTAATGGGATGCTTTGGATGGAACTCTGGACCAGAAAAAGGACATCAAGGGAAAATTGGTGAAATTGAAATTTAAGTCCACAGTTTAGTGAATAACACTGTAACAAGGTTAGTTAGTGTCTTAGTTGTGACACATGTACCATGGTTATGCAAGATGTTAACATCAGGGGAAACATGAGTTGGTTGAGGTTACAGGTTTGAGGGATGATATAAGATAGGTCCAAGTGTCCTTCCCCTCACATGGCAGGGGCCCATGATGTCAACACGACTGGTGATGTTGATTTGATTACTTGGTCAAGACAGTAGATTCTAGGTTTCTCCATTGTTAAGTTACGTTTTTTTTCCCCCTTTCAGTGCTTTATTTCTTAGAAACGAGTCACCGAATCCAGCCCATATCTAAGGAGGGGAATTAAGCTCTTGGAGGGAGGAGTAACAAAGAATTTATGCACGTGTCTTAAAAATCCCCTGGTAATTAATATTTGGGGAAAGATATGTGGAGGGAAGGCAAATGTCCTGTTTCTCCTTAATGTTTCATCTACTAAGTTTGGCATCCATTGGTGGGTCTTGCCTGCTGCAATTATTACTGTGATGTTCGCCTAAGGGTGACTTTCTATTTCCCTCATTCCTTCTACATGTATTAATTAGGCATCTTCTATAAGGAAGATTGCTCCTTCCTCTTCCCATTTATTTATTCAACCATTTATTTATATCAGTATAAAAAAGAGCCTCGCTTTAAGTCTCTGTTTAAACTCATGAGGATTTATTTAATTATTTGGATCACAAATGATCTTTGCAATCTCATAGCAGATTCCATCATCTACTGAAAACCTTCCAGAGGCTTCCTTTTCTTCTTAAGAGTAAAATCTAAATGCCTTACTTACCTTCAAGCCCCCTAAACTCCCTACATATTTTGAGGTCTTCTGTTTTCCTTGCCCAATTTTTTCCTTGCTCATTCCTGCTGTGGTCCAACTGGTTTATTTAAAATCACTTAATCATGCCACCTCAATCCCCCTGAAACTTTTTGTTTTGTTTTATTTTGCTTCTTTTGAGACAGGGTCTCACTCTGTCACCCTGGGTAAAGTGCAGTGGCGGGCGTCATCATAGCTCACTGCAACCTCAAACTCTGGGCTCAACCCATCTTCCTGCCTCAGCCTCCGGAGTAGCTGGGATTACAGGTGCACACCACCATGCCCTGGTACTTTTTTCTATTTTTTGGTATCGACAGGGTCTCATTCTTGCTCAGGCTGGTCTCAAACTCCTGACCTCAAGCGATCCTCCCGCTTTGGCCTCCCAGAGTGCTAGGATTACAGGTGTGAGCCACCGTGCCTCGCTCCCCTAAAATTTTGTCTTGGCTAGAATATCCCTCCTCCTCACCTTTGTGGGAACTTCTCCAACTGCCGTCTGTAAACAATCTTCTTCCTTCCCCTCTCGAACCCTAACTGGAGTTAGATATCTATTTCCTTGTGCATCATTTATCTTGTTCACTGCTGTAACCCCAGAATGTAGAACATAGTAGCTGTTCAATAAATACTTGTTGAATAAATGAATGCAAGAGTCTAGAAGAGCAGGGAGAGAGAGAGATCCATTTATTTCCTCTCTGGTTATAGTAACAACAGCTTGTATCTATGGTGTACACGTGCCAGGTACTCAGGAGAACTACACTTTAAGTCTCTGTTTCATCATGTGTAAAATGAAGATAAAAGAATCTATTTCCAAGACTGTTCCAAGGATGACATGAGCTAATGTACATGAAGACGATGCTCGCAGCTGACTTTCAACAATTATTATTTGCATGACCACCATCTGCAGAATGGGCATAACAGGGCCCTACCACATAGAACTGTTGGAAGCTCGGGCCCGTGTTCTGCACATGTAAAGAGATCCGTGATTGATGGCATCACTGTCACCACCAGCCCACCAGCCCACACATGGAATAGATGCTTTCATCGAATCTCACCTTTTCTCTTTCTTTTTATTTTATTTTTTGCAAATCCCTGTCCTTGGCCTGGCTCGGCCGCCAAAGGATGCTGCTCATCAGGCCTCAGCCCACCGGGTGTGGGCGCAGATAGCCCAGGGCTGGGGACTCCGGCCCTTCTGGACCACAGGCTCCCATCGCCCCGCCCACAGGCCTGGACCGCCCGCGGTCTCCATGGAAACCCACTGGCCACAGTGGGGCGTGACGCCTCTGAGATAGATAGCTACATTCACCTATCAGATCAAAGTTTTCCGGGCGAGGAAGGCAAACGGGGCTCCTAATCGGTGCGTCCTTGGGGGAGGGCGGGAATACGGCGACGGGCCGCCGGGGCCGTTGCCTTTGCTACCAATCAAGAGCCGAGACGGTGTTGATGGACAGGCATAGCGCGAGTGCGGGCTTTCTCTCAACCGGCGGGCCGCTGTCTCGAGAATGGGCCAATGAGGAGACGGCGGGGGTGGGGCGAAGGGGCCGGTTGCTCCGGAAGTGGAGGGAGGGGGTGAAAATGGCGCCCAGCTCGAAATCGGAGCGGAACAGCGGGGCCGGGAGCGGCGGCGGCGGCCCCGGGGGCGCCGGGGGGAAGCGGGCAGCAGGGCGGCGGCGGGAGCATGTCCTCAAGCAGCTGGAGCGGGTCAAGGTGAGGCCTGGAGCCTGGGAGGAGCGCGCCGGAGGGTGGGGAGTAGGGACGAGGGAGGCGGAGGGAGGGAGGGCGTTCGCGGGGTGAGGGGCTGGGGGCGGGCCCGGGGAGGGGGCTTGGATGCGGGGCCGGGGCTTGGATGCGGGGCCGGGCGGGGCCCGGGGAGGGGTTTGAATGGACGGGACGCGGGCGGGGGCTTGGATGGAGGAGGCTGGGGCGAGTCGCGGGCGCAGGGGCTGGGATGGAGGGGCCTGGGGGCGGGGCCCCGGGGAGGGGGCTCCGAGCGAGGGGACCCTAGAGCCCGCAGGAAGCCAAGAGGAAGGGGCGACCCAGGGTCGGACCCATTTTTCAAAGCCCTGCTCCCAGGGCCCCTCCGTCATGGAACCTTCCCGCCCGCTTTGCAGAGCCCCTGCCACCACCGGCCTTGGCTTCCTCCGCCCGGTGTTCCTTCTCTCTGCCCCAGCTCCGACCGCACGGGAGCTGGAGTTCCTACACCTGGGTCGGCCTGCTCCATCGAATGCGGGGAGCTCCCTGGATAGGCCTGCGTCTTCCCCCGCCGAGTGGGAGCTACCTAAGCAGGGCTCTGTCTTCCCCAGCAGACTGGACACTCCCAGAGCTGGGCGATGTCTCCCCCATCAGTTGGGCAGCTCTAGGAGGGCAGCGACGTGACTCTCCCGTCAGATGGGCAGTGACGGCCGAGGCTGTCTCTGTGAACAGGGACTGAGGCTGGGAGCCCTGTCAGGGCAGAGCTGTGTCTCCCCCTTTTGACTGGGAGCTCCCCGGGCTGGGACAGTCTCCGCCCTCCGCCTGGGAGCTCAGCTCCCTGCTCTTGGCAGTGGCTCCGCCCTTAGCTTGGACGCTCCTTGGGATTGTGTGTCTCCTTTCAGCCTGGGCCTCGCTGACAGGGCTGTTTCCTCCATCGGACTGAGATCTCCTTGAGGGCAGGGCTGTTGCTGCCATGGGTCAGGGAGCTCCCCAGACAGGGCTTTTCCCCACCAGATTGGAAGCCCTTGAAGGCTGGGCTTGTCTCCCATCAACCTGGGTCGGAAGACTAAAGGTGCTCTGATCCCCTAGTGCCTGCCTTGTGCCCATCTGTCCCCCAAAATCCTTCCTTGGCGATGAGGGAATTGGGTGGAAGGTGGCAGTTAATTGGGAAGAGGAGACTCCTGCGGAAGTTTTGGGACATTGGTTAGGCTCACCAGTCTGTCTGCCTCAGCTGGTCCCCAGCTGAGGCCAGGGCTGTCCCAAGGAGCCTGAGCCCCCCTTGTTTGTAGGCTGGGATGGTCAGGGACAGGTGAATGCTGTTGAGGCCCCCATCCCAGCCTCCTTGGTGGGATGGACGCCGACAGCTTAATGCACCATGGGACAGTCTTCAGGGAGGATCCCAGGTGGCCCAGCATGGGCCAAGGTGACTGAGGAGCCTTCCTGGGGAGGTGACACTTGTCTCAGGCAGGAGAAACTGAGGCTGAAGAGGCGGTGAAGATGGGAGGGTGGGTGTGTCTCCCCTGTCCCCAGCTGTTCCCACCTCCCAGAGCTCGGCTGACCCTTAGCTGTTATGGCGGGCAGGAAGTGGGCCTGCTCGGGCCTCTGGGTGCTGCTCCGCCTTGGGTGGGGGGGGCTGCAGATGGTGCCTGAAGAGCTCCCACCGCCCCTTCCTCAGATCAGCGGGCAGCTCTCCCCTCGCCTCTTCCGGAAGCTGCCACCCCGGGTCTGCGTGTCCCTCAAGAACATCGTGGATGAGGACTTTCTCTACGCAGGGTGAGGCTGGGGCCAGGCGGGGGCGCAGCTGGCCGGGAGCGCTGGGCTCGCCCTGACCCGGCCGCGGTGCGCCCCCGCCCCACAGACACATCTTCCTGGGCTTCTCCAAGTGCGGCCGCTACGTCCTCTCCTACACCAGCAGCAGCGGGGACGACGACTTCTCCTTCTATATCTACCACCTGTACTGGTGGGAGTTCAACGTCCACAGCAAGCTCAAGCTGGTAGGGCCAGGCCCCCCCACCCCGGGGAGCTTCCAGTGTCATCCTGCCCTTCAAACAGTGTGACCCTGCAGGTCACAGCACCCCCTCTGAGCCTCAGATTCCTTGTGTGTTAAGTGGCCATAATGTATTCATGAGGTCGTTGTCAAAATTCCATATGTGAGGTTGAACCATATGAAATTACCTTTTTTTTTTGAGACACAGTCTCGCTCTGTTGCCCCGGGTAGAGTACAGTGGTGTCAGCGTAGCCCGCTGCAACCTCGAACTCCTGGGCTCAAGCCATCCTCCTGCCTCAGCCTCTTGAGTAGCTGGGACTACAGACGCGCTGGCAGATTTTTCTATTTGTAGTAGAGATGGGGTCTCACTCTTGCTCAGGCTGGTCTAGAACTCCTGAGCTCAAGCGATCCTCCCGCCTCGGCCTCCTAGAGTGAAATTACCATTTTTATGCTTCAAAATAGGTAAATGGTGGCAATTGCATTTGGTTCCACACAGCATATAAAGCCCACGGAACATGATTGGCTCAGGCCAGGTGGGACGTGCTAGCTGTGTCAGGGCCATGCAAGCTGCTACATTGGCTTCCACACTGGCTTTAACCTTGATCTCCTTGAACTCCCACAGGAAGTGGGCGCTGTTAGCCCTGTTTACACATGAGCTCAGGTGAACGGGTTTCAGGGCAGGCTGGGCTTAGAACCAATATGTCTGGGCAAGTCCCCTCCGCCGGGACAGGGCTTCCATCAGCTGTGTCCTGTCCTGGGCCTGGCCTCCCCAGCCTGTCCTCGGGCAAGGCCGAGGGGTCTGGTGGGGGCCGCCTGCGGCTCTCCTGCCAGCCCAGGTCCGGCCGATTCCAGCCCAGCCTTGTGTAGCCCCAGGTCTGGGCCGCTCCTGACCTTGGACTGACCATGAACATGCCGCTCAGGTCCGGCAGGTCCGGCTCTTCCAGGACGAGGAGATCTACAGTGACCTGTACCTAACAGTGTGTGAGTGGCCCAGTGACGCCTCCAAGGTCATCGTCTTTGGCTTCAAGTGAGACCTGGGGACCGGGGAGGCCACGGATGGGCAGGGGAGGGCTGCAGCCGGCCCCGAGGCGTGGGCCAGGCGGCTGAGGCTGTGCTGGCCCCCAGCACGCGCTCGGCCAATGGGATGCTCATGAACATGATGATGATGAGCGACGAGAACCACCGCGACATCTACATCAGCACTGTGGCCGTGCCGCCACCGGGCCGCTGTGCCGCCTGCCAGGATGCCAGCCGGGCCCACCCAGGTGAGGGGGCTGGGGACCTCGGGGTGCGGGCCGCCTGCCCCCGTCCCGGGGCTGCAGGTGAGCTGCTGTGGCCTGTGTTGCTGCAGGCGACCCGAGCGCACAGTGCCTACGGCACGGCTTCATGCTGCACACCAAGTACCAGGTGGTCTACCCCTTCCCCACCTTCCAGCCCGCCTTCCAGCTCAAGAAGGACCAGGTGGTGCTACTCAACACCAGCTACTCCCTGGTGGCCTGCGCCGTCTCGGTCCACTCGGCAGGTAGGTCCCCTGGGTCCGAGGACAGGCCAGCACCAGCTGCAAGGCCCTGGGCCTGTTATCCTCCAATTCCACCCAGCAGTGCCCTGAGGCTGGTTCTGTTCCAGTCCCCAGATACAGACTAGGAGACTGAGGCACAGAGAGGTGAAGCCTCTTGCCCAAAGTCACACAGCCAGGAAGTGGTAATGCTGGGGTGCAAACAGCCACGCCCCACCACAGAGCTGTCTACTAGAACTTTCTGCCGGCCTCGGATGTCCTATATCCGTGTTGTCCACCACGGTCACCTCTGGTAGCCCCTTGGAATGTGGCGCGTGTGACCAAGGAACTGAGCTGCTGCTGTCATTTAATTTTCGTTATTTTAAGTTGAAGTAGCCCAAGGTGGCCGGGCAGCAAAGCGCCACTTGCTCTCAAAAAGAGCAATGCCAGTGAGACATCCTGCGGGCAGACGCCGCCTTACATCTCTGATATTGGAGAAATGCCAGCGAAAATCTCAAGGTGTCCCTTGCCCGTGACAGATGTGAGGAGGCTGGAGAATGCGCCGGCTTGCAGCGGTGGGGGGAGGGGGGCATTGGGGGCCACTTGGCGATGGAATCATGGCTGTGACCCAGTGGCGCCACACTCAGGTCTCTCCCTCTGGGAGATTCTCACTGGGTCCGTAAGCGACACATCCAGGGCTGCAGGGGGGAGCTGGGGGCCACCTGGCGTCCATCCCCGGGGATGGGGAGGCGGAGGCCTGTGGGGTGGGGGCAGCAGTGAGAACCCCAGAACGCACGTCCGCGGGCGTGTGTCAGAGACCTGCACACACACACACCACAGGAGGGTGTTGCCTTGGCAATTTTCGACTCTCCCCGCCCCGCCACGGAGGGCCAGCACGGTGGTGGGCGGGAGCCCAGACTCTCATGGTGACCCTGGACAAATCCCTCTCTGAGCCGCAGTCGAGGACACGGGTCCCCTCTCCCAGGGTTGCTTGTGTGGGGCTCAGAGGCGGCCTGGTGCGGACCCCAGCCCCAGGGTGCTCAGTGAACATGTTGGGGTTCTCTATGTGACCCCTACGGTCCTTAGAGGGGCGCTTGGTCTCCAGACAGGTGGAGACGCACCCGGTCTGTGCCGCACGGGTCTGGCGTGTGCCGGGAAGGAGAGGGCTGTGGGGTGACACTTACGTGGCTCTGCCCATCTTCACCGTAGACTCCCAGCTCCCCGAGGCGGGGTTCCGTCTGCCCTGTTCACTCTGTGTCCTCGGTGTGGGGTGCTCACAGGAAGGGGGTTTGAATGGATGTGTCTGCACGTGTGTGCGTGGTGCACGTGTGTGTAAAGGTCTTTTCCCTTCTGGGTGTTTCAAAGTGATCCCTTAAACATAGGTAAGTCTTCTAGAAGGGTCTCCCCAAGGTGGATTTCTAAGAGTCCCAGGGCAGTGAAGGAGGTCGGGAGAGTGTCCAGAACTTGAACTGGTTTACTGACCCCTTCTCCCACCTCCGTCACTTTTCTTGTTCCAGGCGATAGCAGCTTCTGCCAAATCCTGTATGACCACACCACCTGTCCCCCGGCACCCCCCAGCCCGCCTGAGCCCCAGAGCCCAGAGCCGCCCCCCACTCTCCCCAGCCTCTGCCCCGAGGTGGCCCCAGCCCAGCCCTCTGGGGCCCCTGAGCCCTCCCCCGCGATCGCCAAAGCCAAGGAGTTCGTGGCTGACATCTTCCGCAGGGCCAAAGAGGCCAAGGGCGGGGCCTCCGAGGAAGCCAGGCCACCCGCCTGCCCAGGGCCCTCAGGCAGCTGCTGCTCTGCGCCCCCTGAGCCCCTGGCCCCGTGCGGGGAGGCAGCGCCCCAGGACAGCCCCCCTGCAGCGGAGGCCCCCGCGCCCGAGCCCGGCTACGTCAACTACACCAAGCTGTACTACGTGCTGGAGTCCGGAGAAGGGACAGAGCCAGAGGACGGTGAGCGGGGAGCCTGCGGTGGCAGGGAGGGGCCAGCCCGGAGGGGGCCCCTGGGCCACGCGCCACCTCTACGCCCGCTTCCTGCTTCTCCAGAGTTCGAGGATGACAAGATCTCCCTGCCCTTCGTGGTGACCGATCTTCGTGGCCGCAACCTGCGGCCCATGCGGGAGCGGACGGCTGTCCAGGTGGGTGCGGCAGGCCGAGGGACAGCCCCAGGGCGCCCGCCGGGCTGTGGGTGTGACTCCCCCGGCCTCTGTGCCCACCCGCCCACAGAGCCAGTACCTCACAGTGGAACAGCTCACGCTGGACTTCGAGTATGTCATCAACGAGGTCATCCGCCACGACGCCACCTGGGGCCACCAGTTCTGCTCTTTCAGCGACTATGACATAGTGATTCTCGAGGTGGGCTCAGGGCTGGGCAGGGTGGGCTCGGGGCCTCCTGCGTCCCAAGGTCCCCTCAGCAGCTGCTGTCCTCCTCCACGCCCAGGTCTGCCCGGAAACCAACCAGGTCCTCATCAACATCGGCCTGCTGCTGCTTGCGTTCCCATCCCCCACCGAGGAGGGCCAGCCCCGGTGAGTGGGCAGGAGCCACGCCTCCCCCTCGCCAGGAGCAGCCACGTTCAGACCCTTCCGTTTGGCGAGAGGGGACGTGGGAAGGCTGCCTTGTTCCTCAGCCTGGGTGGGCCCCTCCAAAGACAAAATTCCCAGCCCTGCTCCTCTTTGGCTCCCTCCCGCTGCAGACCAAAGACCTATCACACCAGCCTCAAGGTGGCATGGGACCTCAACACAGGCATCTTCGAGACAGTCAGCGTGGGCGACCTCACTGAGGTCAAAGGGCAGACCAGGTGAGGTGGGGCCGGGGTGGTAGGGGGGCAGCAGCCAGGGCCACGAGAGCCACTCATCCCCTCGCCCCGCAGCGGCAGTGTCTGGAGCTCCTACCGCAAGAGCTGCGTGGACATGGTCATGAAGTGGCTGGTGCCCGAGAGCAGCGGCCGCTACGTCAACAGGATGACCAACGAGGCCCTGCACAAAGGTGGGGCTCGGTGACCCTGGGATGGGCGGGGCCGGGCCCAGAGCAGGCGGATTCGTGAGCATCAGCAGACGGGCAGGAAGGCTGGCCGTGCCAGTGGACGTGGTGGGACTGGGGGGTGAGGCGGACGTAGCCCAGCTTGGTGGCAGGTGCGGGGCCTGGGAGCCCCAGCCAGTTGTTCATTCACACAACAGACAGTTTATTGGATGGCAGCAGAGTCCCTGCCTTCTGGAACCTTCTTGTTCTAGCACCAAGCCAGTTGGGGCCTGGCTATGGGGCCTAGACGGCCAGGCACCCCACGGCTGTGTCCCCACTGTCCCTGCAGGGTGCTCACTAAAGGTTCTGGCGGACAGCGAGCGATACACCTGGATTGTGCTGTGAGGGCCCGGCCGCCCTGGACACTGACTCCAACTACCTCCGCGGCCGGGAGCTGGCCGCCCCGGGCTGGCCTCTTCCTGGCTGGCGACCTCGACCGGCACTAGTGTTAGGCTGTGGGAAGGGCGCTGGGCGGGGCAGCCCCTGGCGGCCTGAGAGTCTGGACGCTTTCTATTTATGCCTATTTAAGTTGGGAAGGGGCAGAGGGAGGGAGCCCCCTGCCCCAGCGGCCTCGAGCACCCCACCGTTGCCCCGAGCTGGGCATGGGCCCGGGCCCCTTGTGCATTCGCCCCTTTCCCCAGCTACAGGTGTGGACATTGCCCCGGCCGAGGCCGAGAGCTCCCGTTCCTCATCTGCCCGCCCCCAGGTGGCCATCCCCACTTCCTTCCTCTTCGTGTAATAAATGTTTAATTTCTGAACCTCGCCAAGGTCCGGTGACTGCAGCTGGGGCCGGCAGAAGGCCCCCCAAAGGCCGGCAAGTCAGCAGTAGACAAATACCACAGCGGAATTTATTGTGTTTTAAGAAAGAACTACAAAAAGGTAGAAAACAGCTCGGCACACTAAACTACCACACGGGTGGACACTTTCACCGCCGGGAGAGGGGGGCCCTGGGCAGGACCACCCCAAAAGCTGTAGCACGCGGAGCACACAAAATAGTGATTTTTATACAATAGGTCAGATTTTCCTTTTTTTTCGCATTTTTGTTTTTGCCATAAACATCTATCTCACAGGTTGAAAACACTGAGGAAACGAACAGATAAGGCCATGATGGTTGGAAAAAAACCCAACAAGTTACCGACTCCGCTCGGGCGGCGCTCACAAATCGCACAATAGTCGTGGGGTGGGGGCGCACGGCACAGAGAAGCGCAGTCTCCGGGAAGAGTAGAAGGTTCCGTTACAAACCAGCGGCACGGAAGGCGCGGGGCGCGGGGTCTTGGATCTGGGGAGCACCCGGCCCAGGACGGGCAGGCGCGGACACCTTCCGGCCCGCAGCTCTTCTTTGGAAGCGGGAGGCCGCGTCCCCGCCGCCCTCCCCGCAGGCGACCAGCAGGGCCCCCTCTCGGGCTGCCGGGCAAGGGAGGTCCCAGCGCCAGAGAAGATGCGACACCCACGGCTTTAATTGCACTTAATACCAAGAAGGGGAAGCAGTGGGGGTCCTGGGGGAGGGGCCCTGGGGCTGCTGCTGACAGTGGGGGTCCCCAGGTGACACCCGCCTGCGCCCACCCGGGGCTCAGGGCGGGGCCCAGGTCAGGCTGTGCAAAGCCAGCGAGCTGAATAAGTTAACAGTTCTGAGCGGGAGGGGCCTGCCTGCCTGCCCCCGGGAGGGCGCGGCTGAGGGAGGGAGATGCTGCGGCCTTCGTGGGGGCCAAGGGGCCGAGCTGGACGCCCCGCGGGGCACCTGGGCACGCGACGGTTCCTTAAGGCACGTCTTTTGTGTCAGAGTTTGCAGCTGCGGCTCCGCCCAGCCCAGTGATTGTGCCGCCCCATCCGGAGCGGGGTCCCCTTGCCTTCCCTGTCTTGGAGGCCTCCTCCCCATTTCGGCTGAGGCTGGAGCGGGGACAGCGAAGCCACAGAAGCTGTGAGGGACCCTGGCGTGGAGGGGCGGCGGGGCGGGGCGGGCGGGGCGGGGGAGGCCGCGGGCTTAGCTGGAGGGCAGCGCCTGGACGAAGAGGCCGCGCGTGTCTGTGCGCGCCAGCTTGGCCGGAGGCTCCAAGGCCTCGGGGCCCAGTGCGGGCGACTCACTGCCAGCGGCCAGCGAGATGTCCTGGGGCAGCTCGTCCTCGCTCTCCTCCTCCTCTTCCTCCTCCTCGTCTGGGGCACATGGACCAGGACCGGCTCAGCGCGAGGCCTGGCGTGGGACCTGCCAGCTCCGCCACCGCCCTGTCCGCCCACCCCCAGCCCTGGGTGGGAACGTGTCCCGCCTACCTTTGTCAGGGTCCAGGGGGTTCAGCGAGGTGGCCAGGTTGGCGAACTGGAGGGAGGGGAGAAGAGAGAGGGTGAGGACCCGGCCGCCTGGCACCCGGCCCATGCCCCCAGCGCCCCGCCGCCTGGCACCTCGCCCATGACGGCGATAGGGGTCTCGCCCTTGGCCTGCGCCACGCGGTGCTCGATCAGGTAGTACATGTACTCGTCGTAGAGCAGCCGGATAAGGTGGAAGGAGCCGAAGCTGGCGGCGCTGCGCAGGGTCAGGTCACGGATCACCATGGAGCTGGAGAAGGCGACGGAGAAGAGGCCATCAGGCGCCGCCAGGCCCGGGCCCTCGCCACCCCTTGCCAGAGGCAACACCCCGGGCCTCGAGCAACCTCAACGACCCCGGGCTGGGCCCCCCACAGGCTTCCCTAGGGGGCCAACTTTGGGAACCCAGGTCCTGGCACTGCCCGCCACCCGCAGGCTCCCATCTACACAGAAGAGCCCCTGCGCTGCCTCAGGGGGCGGCGCCTCACCCGGTCCCGCCCCTGGCTCACCGGGAGGTGGGGTCCGCCCTGGCCCCGCCCCCACCCGAAGCCTCGGCGCGTGCGCACCTGTAGAAGGACCACTTGAGGAGGAAGAGCTTGGCGGCCTTGGGGAAGCCGGCGCTGCCCTGGTAGGGCTTGAGCACCTGGCTCACCACGCCGTCCAGCCAGGCCGCCCACTGCTCCAGCGAGTTCTGCTGCTGCAGCGTCACCTTGAAGTCCTGCTCCAGCCGCTGCACCACGCGGTCCTCGCAGCGGCACACCCACGAGGCCTGCTCCTACAGCGCGGCGGACGGACGGACGCGGGCTCAGCCGCCGCCCGCCAGGCTGCCCCTGCCCGCCCCCTGCGGCGCCGCGCACCTGCACGTTGGCGAAGTCCACGCGGTTGAGGTCGCTGAGCATCTGGTTGATCTGCGCGGTGTTCTGCAGCACGGCGCGCGCCGCCTGCGCCAGGTGGTTGAGCGACGTGTAGCGCCGCAGTGTCTGCGCGAAGGCACCGGCCGCTGCCACCTGCGTGCGGGTCGGGATTGTGGCTTCTGTAGAACCGCCGCCAGCCAGCCTCTGCCCCACCCGCTGCAACCTCTGAGCCTCAGTTTCCTCTTTCCTAAAGAAAGGAGGGCTGCGCCTCGCTGCTTTTGTTAGGAGACCAAGAGGTTAAGATTTCCAAACTTTTGGGTGTCCACCCACCAGTGTGGGTCAAAAAAAATCAACTTATTGTGTTTGGCCCGGCATTATTTCTTTTAATGAAAGAAGACAATAGAAAACATGGAGAGCACTGGCCAGGAAGGCCAAGTACTGCTTTAATAAACATTTGTTTTCAGTTTGTTGTAATACCCTACCCTCGAATCTCAGCTCCAGAGGGACAGGGTTTTGTCTGTCTTGTCAATTACTATGCTCTGAGAGTGAGACTGGGCACACAGCAGGTGCCCAATAAATGCGTGCAGCCTGAACGCATGAATACACGAGTCGCCAATTCGCCTGATGGGCTTCCACTGTTCCCACAGGACCCTGGTGACCCGGCCGCCAGCCCTCTGGTGCCCGGGGACGAGCGCAGCCCATGCCGCATCTAAGCGGGTAGCCGGTGTGCGGCGCTGACGAGAAGGGCTGCGCTGTTTCCTTACAGGTGTTGTTGCCTTTTTAAGAAACGCTTCATCTATTTCTGAACACCTAAAGCGCTTTCTAGCCAAGCCGTCCACAGAGATTCACTGTCGATTTCCGTTCCACTTTTACTTTTTTTAAGATGCTGCTGTGAGTCCGCACACACCACGGGGCCATGCTTGCCATCCCCGGAACAGGTGGGGGGACAAATCTTGCTGCCCCCAGGGAACAGAGAAGACCGAGGCCCGGCCCCAGGGGCGGGGACAGGGGCCGGGCGCCAGGCCGGCGCTCCCCTCACCTTCACCCGCAGCATCTCCTCGGGGATGTTCACCATGGCGTGGGTGAGCCAGCTCTCCAGGCTCTTGGCAAAGTTCCGGATTGCTTGGGTCAAGGCACCTGTGGGCCGCGGTGGGGGCTGGTCAGGGCGGTGGGTGGTGCATTTGGGGTGCCGCACGGTCGGGGGGCGCGGCGGCGGAACACTCACTGGGGATGGGCCGCAGCACGTCGGGGATGAGGATCTCCACCAGGCCCTGGTACAGCACGTTGTCACAGTGCTTGGTCCACTGGAGCACCGGCTCGAACTTGGAGAGGAGCACCAGGCTGGCCTTGGGCAGCCGCTTCTCCGACTCGTCGTGCCTGCAGGCACCCAGCCCGGGTCACTCAGGCACTCCGTGGTCCTGCACCCAGGGCCCGAAAGGCACAGGCACCCCCAGTCCCCGCCCTGGGGTCAGGCTGGTGCAGACCCCCCGGGGGTCAGGGGGGGGCGTACACCCCACCCTGCACAATGCAGGGGCCTCAGAACCCAGCCACCCCAAGGAGATGGTGTCCTGCCAGCACGCCTGGACTGGTGGCACACGCCCCGCCCCGCCCCGCCCCGCCCCGCAGATGGACACACGCACACACACTGTGGGAAGCGAAGGGCATGTCCACCCCACAAGCTGCAGGGGTCGGGCAGACACCCCACTCCCGCACGATGCCAGACCACCCCACCCCTGGGCGGCTGACTCTCCGGGAGGGTGGCGCGTGGGACTCACACGGCCAGAGGTGGCGCCTCGCTGGGCTGGCTGAGGTTGTACCTCCAGAAGGTCTTCCACAGCGTCTCCACCAGGGTGAACTGCAGGTTCACCATGACGTCCACGATGGCCTGAGGGAGACGCGGGCGCTCAGGGGGCCTGGGGGCCGCGTGGCCCTGCCCCACCCGTGGCGGGGACCCCGCCCGCCCGTCCTACCTCACAGTGTTCCCGGTACAGGACCTGGAAAGCCTTGATGTCCCCGGGCCCGATGCCCTCGGGCAGCACTTTGCCCTGGAGGTCGAGCTCCGAGAAGTCAGGGAGGCTCCGAGAGGCATCTGGGGGGAGGGGCGCGATGAGACCCTTCCTCCCAGCCGCCTCCCACCGCCAAGTCGGGGTCCCCGTGTGCGGCGAAGGACGGCGGGGCTCAGGGAGGGCGAGGGCCTGGCCCGGCCTCCCAGGAGGGGGAGACTCCAGAGCCCACGCTCTTCCAGCAGAGAACACGGCAGCCTTGTGCCAAGTGGTGGCACCGGCACCCCCTTGGGACGTGGGCCCCTGAGCCCAGGCTGCGCCCCCACACCCACCTGGCCAGGGAGCAGGCCCCCAAGGCCCGGCCAGGGCCACAGGGATGCTGACTTGAGCCTGAGGGCCCAGCCATGGACAGTCACCCTGGTGACACCCCTGACTGTGTCAGAACTGTCATCCCCCCCCAAGGGCAGCCTGGGAGTCTGGCGTTTGTCAACAGAAACCCCCAGGAAGTGGGCCTCCGCAGAGTCACCGTCCAGGATGCCTGGCTGCTACACGCTGGGCTGCTGGCGTTTGCTCGTTTACTTAGCATCGCTTTGTCTCGTTTTCCTTGACT